AAAATTTTTCTTTTAAATATGAAAAACATAGAAAAAAATTTTGTATTTTGTCTGATTTGTTTTCGAATAATTCTAAATTCATATGATTTTATCAATCAGTCAGAGACATACTTGAGAATTAAAACATCCACAGATAAATTTGGTACTATCGAAGAGAGCATAAGATAATTATTTTCTAGATTGATCGCTCTGATACAAACTTTTATAAAATCTCTTTATTTTCGACACTGTTTACCAGTATCTGAAATGATCCTTTCAGTAGCTTTATCTAATACAATTTATAGAATTCTCATCTAAAGGAAAATTGAAAAATGATCGTGAATGTTCCAAGATCTTGTTCCTCTCCTGTAGAAATCTCACACAATTTATAACAGCACTTTTCCTGCAGGCTATAAATTTTTTTAGAATATTTGGATGTTTAAAAGTTCGCAGTTCATCTCTATGGTTCCTGCTTTAAAATCTTTAGTTATTCACATACTATCTTCGAGAGTGGGGTAAGACAAGACTTAAGCAGTCACACCTATTCACTCTAGCCCACAGACTAAAAAAAGACTAATTTTGATGTCGATAATAAAATCAAGCCTATGAGAATCATGACATCAGGATGCTTTCATTGTACTTAATATCTTTTGCTAATGTACAAGAGTCAACTGACGCATAAATATGCAAGGATATAGAAAACCCCACGCGTATTCAGAATGTGTAAATACTTTTTAAAAAATATGTTTTCATGGTGAGAATATATTTGAAATACAGGTGGCAATTATTATTTTGTTTTCGGGAGGGGCGTATGTATAAATGCATGTTTATGATAGCTTACCAGATTGGAATTTAAGAACCGAAATAAAAACAACACGTAGCAATAAAATACGATACTGTATCACAGTATGTGCAAAAAAATCTAACGACAGGTTTACCGTTCAATTTTTTCTTATTTGCACTCATATAGTAAAATAGTTTATTGCTTTATACTTCTGTATCACAGTAAGTAAGAAAAAAAAATCAAACGATAAAATATTCTGTCGTTGATTCTTTTTTCTCACTGAGAATAATTAAATGACTTGTTTGTTTTTTAATTTTTATTAACTGACTGCTATTATATAAAAAGATATCAGTAAAAACTAAATGCATTTGAGAATATGATTGGTTTCTCATTTTACTACAAAATTAAAGACAATAAGAAGGTAGGAATTTTAAAAATTCGATAAACAGTTTTAATAATACAATAGAACATTTGTTCTCTTTTGATCTATTGAAAAATTAATTCTTTAATGAGATTTTTGCTTTCCCATTCAGTAGATTTTTCTCGTAAAATATTTAAAGCTAAGTGAGATAGCAGAAGACTATTTTACTACAGGTGCTTGTGGATAGACTTCTGATAAACATTGTTTGGGTATTTAGAAAAGATATTTTGACAGAGAAGAATTTTCTAGTAAAAAATATATAGAAAAGGTTCAGAAATAGTTTATTGAATCTATTAAGAAAATATCAGTCGCACATAATACACAAGATAATCGTTTTGGAAATAAAACTAATGAAAAATTAAAAAGTCAATTCTCATAAATTATCCATTGATATAGAAATATTTTACGATTTGTAGAGATAAAAATCATGGCAAAGATTTATCAAAAACTGTCCTTTTTTTAATGCATTCAATTGAAAATGAAAGAAATAAACTTGGAGAAAAACAACCAAGAAATTTAGAAGTCCATGTGCAGCGGATATTACATTTGAAATTCTTAAATGAATTTCGTAAAATCTATAAGATTTTTGAAAAAAAAATAGGTAAAGATATCAAAATTTCCATAGATAAGTTGAAATATTCAATAGTTTTGAACCTGTTAAAGAAAAGCATTGCAATAACTCAAGACGATTATATCGAATGTACAAAAAAAAATGAAAGTCTATTTTTTAAAAATCTTGCCTGATTTTCGATCGATGGTTACATTTATCTTTTTATGAAAAGTTCTTACAGTTTTTAAAGAATTTTCTAGAAACCCACGCGACTTTCCAATGTAAATGAATTAATTTTACAATGTGAACATCTTAACCAAATATTAGAATATAGAAGAAACGAAAATATTGTAGTTTTGAATACAATGGCTAAAAAGTTCAATTGTCCTTGTATTTTTTTTTGAAAGATGTGTCAAAGTAGAAAATTTTTTCAAGAAATTTCATGAAATATTGAAATAGTTTTTTTTCCCGTGAAGCTATGAACTACATGAGATAAAAGACATTAATCAGGAATTGAAAGAGAATATTTATTATCAAACTTGTTATAAAAAAATTTTGATCGCATCCGTGAATGTATCGAAATTATATGGTAGAAAACTTAATTTCACGAATCGATCAAAATAGAATATAATTAAGAAGATGATAAACAAAATTTGATGTCATGTTTAGTTCATTCGATGATTTAATAAAGAGTGCGTTGGTGTAGGTGTGGGTGAGGAGGAGATCGAAAATCACATTCACACAATGTTTACGTTCTGATAAAGAAATGAACCGTCACACGAGCTTACGGATTATGATCCAAAGAATGACGATCGTTTTAGGCATTATAAGATGTTTCTTCATGTGGTCGAAATGATCTGCCTGGTAATATTCGAATAAGAAGATGAGCAAGGCTAAATTACCCTTGACATTAAGTATCACGTAAATACTTTAGAGATCTGTGCTGCAGGCTGGCTTCGTCACTGGTCCCAAGAAGAAAGCATTTTTTCCTAATGAAACTTTTAGAGTGTTCTACTAACCACGAGAACTATAAATGGGCTAAATTCACGATCAAAATTTTCTTGTTCAATTTTTCTGTAATTATCTTGTCTTAGATCGAAAAATCCATAATTTGGTCATAATCTTTGAAGGAAGTTCCATCAGTAGAGACCTGCGAGAAAAACATTTTCTGATTCCCGATTCCGTGTTCCCGTAATGCTTTGAGAATAGTCACAATGATTTCATTATTCACATTCATCGAAACTACTAATTGATACCAGCTTTTATCGACCTCGTGTTTCTCACAAAACAAGATTCCTTATATTAAAATTAAATTTCTAATTCAAAGCTCATAAATCTATCGACACTTTAAAGTTGAACTTTCAGTTGAAACTTGAAATTTCAATTGAATTCAAATTTCAAGTTTGACATCTATTGAAAAGATATGCCCTATACCTTTAAACCCATCAAGTTTCACCCTCTTTATGAAAACGGTATACCTGAGAATGAGTATGAGGGTGCATTGAATATTTTTCTTACTGTTCAAATGTAATGTGATGCTGAACCGGTGTTGCTGCTAATGAAGTTCGAGATTCCCATTAAACTTATGCAGTTGATAGATGAGCGATTGATGTCCACCGCTGTTGAGAATAATGGGTTTGCTTTTGCTAGGCTCCCTCACCATATTCAGCAGCTTAAAAGTTTGTGTCTTTCTTTCTTTTGAAACGCAGAAAGAATTAAAAAAGGCCATAAACTCAAGAGTTTGTATGAATACAGTTAAATGTTAAAGAAAGCTTCTTTCATAATGTATATTGAATACTTTAAATGATGTTTTGAAAAAAAAAATTTTGACACTATTGAAGAACATAAAATAAATTAATATTTTCACAACTTTTCTCAGTATTGTGAAGTCAAATATTGTCTCGAAACTTTAACCTATAAAAATTAACTGTATTTCATTTCACTATTAACAGAGAGTATATAAATACATCTGAGAAACATTCTTCGAATAAAGAAAAAATTTTGAATATTATACTCACCTTAACCGTTTTGCTGTTATTAACTTTTTGTTGTGTTTAATAGTAAATATGGGTAAAAAACGACGTGTTTGTTAAAAATCTGTCTTGTTATTCTTTCCTTCTTCTGATTTAGTCTTCACCAACGACAAAATTCCTTCTCTGATGAATAATCATACAATTGACTTTTCTCCAACAAACCAAATGACAACATGCAGAAAGGGTAAAAAAATGAAGCATTAATTCAAGAGTGAGTTAAAACATGTTTGTAATCTTCAAATAAATAATTTGAAGGTTTGTATGACAAAACCTTTTATAGTAATAGGTGGCACAGAATAAAAGAGCCAAAGTAATTCCGTCTTTTTATGGGATTTTCCAAGATATTGGATGTGCATGTTGGCAACTGTGTTGACGTGGACGTGGGTGTAGATGTGAGTGTAGTTCTTCTCTTTATGAACAATCACACTCACACCCTTTAGAAAAAATCATTATTTTCTAAAAAAACCCTTCCGTTAAACCAAAAAACTCACCTAAAAATTTTTAAATTCTGACTTAAGATTCGGATTCCCGATCCCGATTTGCTTTCGTCAGCCTTTATAGAAAATTCTCTAAAGTAGAAGTTTTTTTGACCCCGATGCAGACAGATACACATACACACATACAAACTATTTTTTTCATACGACCCTCCCTACAGTCGAGGGAATAAACATACACTTTGTCTTTATGTCTGCACTTAAGAGTGCATAACAGAATGAATGGCATAGAATGGTCAAAACAAAAACTGTATAGTTGCTAGCATATTACGTACCGAAATCTAAGTAATTTGGACTCTTTTGGCCAGAATTCAAACTAAAATCAAATATAAAACATGAATTGGGTGCATCCCTATGTCACGTCATGAATAATGTTTGCTCGAATTTTCTTGATATATGATGTGACTCTTATGATTCAGCTGACTAATTTTTCATTCTGATCTACTTCTATCGATGGTTTAGTACAAAACTGAGATATAAAATTTGAGAATATCTAGAGGTTATTTGATTTATGGTTCAATTGTTCACAAAGTTGTCTTTATATGTAAATCCACTACAATCTAATAGATATCGCTAGTGTCTGGAAGAACAAACAAATGCAGAGACACGCTCGTTATTTATTTGATCAATTCTCTTAGCAATCTTTCTACTCAAAAAAAATCGATGCTTATTTTCATCAGTTCTTCCTACGTTGTGAAAATGTTGATAAACAAATCTGTTTTCTAGATTTTCAAATTTAATGGCTTCGTCGACTGGCTCTTCACATAAAAAAGCACTAGTAATTGGTATTAATAAATATATTGATCCAACACCTGTATTACAAACATGTATAGCCGATGCCAAATGTTTAAGCAAAACACTTATCGATATTGATTTTGATGTATTACAAGAACACAACTGCACATATATCGAATTTCAACAGAAAATAGATGAATTCGTTGGAAAGATTCAGAAACAAGATATAACTTTATTCTATTTTGCTGGTCATGGATTACAATCAGACGAAAAAAATTATTTAATATCTTCTGATTATAATTATGATCATAGCATCGATGAGAAAACGTACCTAGCCCGAAATTCCGTCAACGCTCAATATATCTTGCACAAAATAACGATGAAGCAACCTCGTACTATAATATTTATATTAGATTGCTGTAGAACCAAGAAAATAAAGAGCAATTTTATGCCAGGTTTATCACCGATGGATACACCGCCGGAAACTCTACTTGTCTTTTCTTGTGGTGTGGGTCGAGCAGCGCTTGATGAAACACGAAACAGACAAAACAGTATCTTTACTGAAAGTTTATTAAGACATATTGCAACACCTGACGAAGATATTGAGTCACTGTTCATGAAAGTTACCCGTGATGTTCGAGATGCAACAGATGATTATCAAATACCATATCGCCAAATCTGTCTTACGGAAAGAATCTTCTTGGCAAAAAGTAAATCAGCCGGTAAAGTAGTGTTTTATTCTATCTTCCGAGAGGATCAAAGCAAATAATTTTTCGGTTCGAGTTCACTAACCGTAGTCTCTTTTGGAAGAAGTTTCATCTAATAGATCTGAATCAGTGTAACTAGAATGTGAATAGTGCCGATTCAAAAGATTACGAAATATGAACAAAAAATGATGCAACTTTTCTGAGTTGATTTTCATTGGTTAGCTGCCAATGAGTAGAAGTAGAATTCTTTTCTATCTTTTTATTTACTTTTGAAACAAACGTACAATATTTGACGTAAAGGCAATTGAAATTTTGGACGGTCGTTTATTTTTCGGTCACTTTACCATAATTGTATGGATTTGATTGATTGGCATTGGATAATATGTATTTTCAATTTTCTAGCAATAATTATTTTTAAAAAAATGAGAAGAAATCTGTTTCGTAGAAAATCATTGAAAATAAATCGCTTTTCGAAAGAAATACTTCATTCTTCAATTTATGGTTCGATTTTATTCTCTACACATATCTTGTTCTGATTCCTGATACCCTTTAGACAATCATCTTCTGAAAGCGACAATGACGATTGGAATTTCAGGATTGTATATTTTGACGGTACCAAATGGGTTTTAGAATTCTGTAAAAATTTAAAAAATCGAATAAAAAAAGATAAACAACTGATCCTAATGTATGATACAAAAATGACAGCACAAAATATCAATCTTCATATCTCTTTGATAAAGATTGCTGTAATAAAACTTCTTTTAATAACAAGTTCATTAAACGAAGCATCACAATAGAAAAGAGAAGCATTCTTTTAAAAAAATCTGCTTTTTTTCTATAAAAGAATCTATCAACACGGTGATTCTCGTACATTATCAATAAGTAGGTTTTGAAAAGAATATTTTGTTATAAGTCCGTACGAAATTTTTTTTGGAGGAGTAAACGATTTATGCTTGTCACGCATTCATACATGAAGTGACATGAGAAAAAAGTCACACTAGTGGCATAAACTTGTAATGTTTATATTAATTCGTCAATACTGTCTTGCAGACAACAGTCAATCAGAATTAGCTGCCGTTTTACAAGATGTTTTTAACGATTTCACTGAAATTAAAGTAATCAGTGTTTTACGAGATCTTTGACATACGTTCACAAAAACCGAACTTATTTTTGTGTAAGAAAATGCTTTTAACGAATAGGTGTTTACAATTTTAAGTTTCTTGTGCGAATATTTTTTTTTACTTGAACCATTTTATTGACGAATGTGTGACAAATAGAAATTACATATTATAGGAAAGAGAAGAAAATTTTCTGTCAACTGATAACAGAATATTCTTTTCAAAACGCGTTTGTCGAAAAGTTATCAAAGAGATATAGATACCTGTGTTCAAAAAAATTCTAAAACTCAGTTTGATTGTGACTGCAGATATCTATTCTACATACTGGAATCCACACCCCTAGCCACAGCTACACTGCACATCTACTAGTATTCATGCATCATATCGATTTGTCTGATTACAAATTGAATATTATAACAACACTGACATGACGACTGTTTGCAGAATATGCCAAATAGTGGGTCAATAATTATGATTTCTCAATATTGAACTGATTATTAATAAGAGAAAATGATTAATCATATCGCTTGATGTGATATCGAAAATATTTTTTCGTGCTTTTTTTCTTTGAAAATCATGAACATGTTAAGCTGCAAACATTATTAATGAATGAAATCAATGTCATCCGCCACATTAGGTAAATGAGTTCAATGAAACTAGCAGAAGTAGAGGCTTTATGAGAACTACAAGAGTTACTACATTCAGTATATTCTGATGAAGTCATCTATTTAGTTCTTGTTTTGAAACGTAATTGAAACTAATGAAACCCAAGTTTTGCAAATATTTTATCTCGTATTCGTTAATGCTAAACAGTATCTAGCTGCAAAAGTTCGTTTCGAATATTTTCGACTTCTAACAAAAGACTAGATATTACCATTCGATTAGAGTGAAACACATTTCACATTTTGATCGATGGATTTCAAGTTGAGGTTAATGTTATGCCTTATTATTGTCTTTTTCAGAGATACTACCACCGCAATATCGAAACTTAGAACTGGAAAAAAAAATCACTGAAAACAAAGATCAGAAAGAGTTAAATTTAAGGTGCATGAGATTGACGGATGCTGATATGGAAATCGTGGCCTACTATGCAATTCGAGAAAACAAGGTAATATAACTTACAGAATTATATTAATCCATTTCCATTATTCGACTTCTTGCATCTACTGAAATGTGAAACAAAAATAGATTTATGCATAGAGCTATAGTAAAAGAGGAATGTTGAACCTTTGAGAAGACAAGATAGTTCATGCAATATTCTGAATGATAATTAGTATAAAAGCAACACCTAGTTTCGTTGAGATTCTTTCAATACGTTTGGCATAGTCATGGAACTCGATTTCTGTACTCCAGTGAGGGAAATTGAAACTATTGCTTGCTTAGGGTGAGTTTCAACTTAATGTAGAATAGTAGCTTTGATCATCATACATGAAATCCGACCATGAATGATATACCTCCATTAACAATAGTAAAAATTCTGATTTGTAATACAAATATTACTCAGATATTTGCCTTTTCTAGAGTGAAGTGCAAATATAGTGAATCCATATTTCTCTTTAGGAGAAATATGAATAACTTATTTATAACAGCAAAAACAGAACGAAATTAGTACTTCGCTGATCTGAGAATAACAAAAAAAAAAATAATAGAGTCTGTTTTAATCATCAATCATAGGATACTATTCATAAGTCATTGTCATTGCATGCAAATATTTTCTATTGTCTGGAAAATCAATGATGGAGTACTATGAACAAATAAAAAATCTTTTATGAATGATAATGATTCTTATCTAAATGGTAGGTTTGTCATCAATTACGTCTTAAGGGAGATCTACATGTTCAACTGTGTCTTATATTATCCGAATCTACATACACTTCTACCTACAATCACGCTTCATACCATGTTGTCTAACCATGAGATCATTCGATAGACATTCCGACCCATCGATTTGAGAGTATCGTTTCTAACGAAATTTCAAATCGAGAGCTCGGTGATGAGTCAAGAAATCAATACTTTTTCAACCATTCGAATAATTTCAACCGAAAATTCTAAATAAAAAAGACACTTGGGCAAAGAAGTAGATTAGAGTAGGGTTACTTACGGTAATAAGTCGTCATACATTCAAACTGAATATGAATTGTTCTTTCTTTCCTAATATTAGCTTATGAATTTTGTAAATCTTGAAAACACAATACTTAGGGATATCATTTTTCTTTAAAATAATTCAAAAGGAAAAATTTCAAAACTTGGACAGTTTTCTTTGAATTGAAAAATCAGTTTCAACCAATTTATCATGAATTTAGATTTTTAAAATTGGTTCTTTTAAAGTACAATCATTTTTCTAAAGCTAAATTAATTTTCTTTCGTACAATTTAAAAGTTGAAAATTTACCGAAGAATGTTTTTGAAAAACAAAAGCGAAGAAAAATTAGAATTTATCTCTAAGGTTGGTAGGAATATTCTTTACAATTTTAATCTTTTGATTTTTCATCTTTTTTGTCCAATTTTTCGTATAAAACGGCAAGGGGATAAAGAAATCTATGCAATATAGTTTAGGAAGTGGGTGGGGTGTGGATTTGGGTCTAGATGAAGAAAAGATGAACACCCACACCCACACAGTTATGAGAATTATGAGATGAGTATAAAACTAGAAGGATTACAATCAGTTCTATTCTTTCAAGGATTCTCAATAAAAATGATTGCTTATCTTGAATGAATTGCATATAATATCAACGTTCGAATTTCGTATTGCTCTTCTACTTTTGAGCTCTAATTGTAAAATTGATTCAAAATTACTCGATTTCAGCCGAATTTTGATAAATTGTATTTGAAAACTAATTTTAAAAAAATTAACAATGATTTTTCTTACGTACTATTCGAGTGAGAGTGTTTGAGAAACTTATTTTTTTTAAACAGTTTACATGGTATAATATATCTTTTGTTGATTAAAACCCATACTAAAGAATAGTTCTTTGTTCGTGTGAAATTCAGAAAGAAAATATATTGAATAACCAAGTGTTTTTATGAAAACATGCCATTTTTTACCATAGAAATCTACTTATTATCTAATTTTTATAGATAGCATAGTCTTACATAAGCAGAAGTATCCACTGATGGAAAAAAATTTAATTTCTTAATTCTAGTTCACATATCAAGAAATACTAAAGATACAACAATGACCTTCAAATATTTTTTGGATAGACAGTAGATATGCAAGAAACTTACTAATAATGATTCACTATCATCATTGGTTTTTTTCAATAATGTGAAGCAATAGATCTCATAGATGGATGAGATTTCATTTTTTTTCTTGATAGGATCAACAATGATTAAAGAGCTGACCTAGCTGATTAATATCAAATAAGAGTCTATCGTTTAATTAGAAAAAGTTTCGTAGAAATTCAGAGAATATTAATATCTATATCTATTCAGGTATTAAATAAGGCAAGCTCTTATTAACAAATATAGTAATAGAAACGATTCACTAAGTCATATGGGGACAAGTGTCTTCAATAGCAATATTCACTTGACACAAAATAAAAACAGAGTATGAAGAATAAGAATAAAAAATAATAAAAATCAATGCGCTTTGTTAAAACTCAATGGAAACAATGAGCAAAGCTTCCTTATTTATTCTCATTGTACTAATATAGAATAAATCAAATGAAGATTATCACACAGATTGTAGCTATTGTCTACAATAATTCATCAACAAAGATGCAATCTATATCTGATTTATTTTTGAATTTTAAAAAGAAGTTTTTGATTTTTTTCATTAGTCATTTGTTGTCTTTGTTTGTGTTGTTTCCATTCATTCACAGCTTGTCTTTCTCATATTTGCTTTCTGTTTTTGACTTCACATCATTATTCTAATAATTGAATCATTTGCAAAAGTTATATATATTGGTCAACTCATAAATACTGATATTGATTCATTTAAGACTT